ATGATTGTGGATCTGTCTATTTCACCTTGCGATTGTTTCCATTTCACTTTATTTTGAGATGTTATTGGATGATAAGAGTTTTACAGCTTTATGAATTTTACCTTCTGTCATTATAAAGTGACTTTTTTATTTCTAGGAGTTGGTATATAGTAATATTTTTTGCCTTAAAGTCTATCTTGTCTGTATAAGGCATACCTCATTTTATTGTGCTTTGCTTTATTGCACTTTACAGATATTGCATTTTCATCAATAGCAAGGCAAGATCCTCCACCAGCAAAAAGGTTACAACTGGCTGAAGGCTCAGATGATGGTTAGAATTTTTAGCAAGAAAGTATTTTTCAATGAAGGTATGTACATTTTCTTAGACATAATGCTATTGCACACTATTTAATAGACTGTAATATAGTGTAAACATACTTTTACAGGCACTGAGAAACCAAAAAATTTAAACGATTCACTTTATTGTGATATCAGCTATATTGCAGTGGTCTGGAACTGAACCTGCAATATCTCCAAGGTATGCCTGTATTTATGTTTTAGGTATATTCTTATAAATAGCAAATAGTTAGATTATATTTTTATTCTAAATATTGTTTTTATCTGAAGCATTTAACTTAAATTTTGTGTAATTATTGATGCATTAAGTATTGACTTATTCTTATCCTCTTTTTTTGGTAATTTTTATTCCTCCTTGTCTGCATTCCATTTTCCATTCCTTTCCTTGCCTTTGTATTGAAAATTTCTCCCCACATACAGTGTTTTCCCCCTTTTCGTATTCCTGTTCCTCTAGTGATTACTCTGAGACATTTTACATGATACTTAACTCACCAAAGTCTAACTGCACAAGACACTATTAATATTGTTTTACTAAATTTTTGTTAATGTCTTTATTTTCCTTTGGCTCCTGAAAGATGTTTTCACTGGGAATGCTAACATTTTCTCCTCTACTTTGTAGATATCACTTCATTGGCTTCTTTGGATGTTAAGTCTAATGGATGCTCTTTGAAGGTAATCTTTTTTTCCCCTCCCTAATCTGACTGCTTTTAAGATTTCATTGTTTTAAGGGTCTTGTAATTTCACTATATTGTCTTTAGCTGTGGATGTCTTTTTATTTACCTTGATTAGGATTTGTTGGTATCGACTCTGTATAATTGGTGTTTCTCATGAGTTCTCATAAATTTTTTAGCCATTACCTCTTTAAAGATTGCTTCTGCTCCATTTTGATTAGACACAACAAAGGAGCTTCAAAGGGAACACATCAAAGGGAACTTCTTGCTTTATTCTTTATGTCTCTTAATTTTTCTTTTATATTTTCACCTCTTTGTGTCTGTGTTGCATTCTGGATACCTTCTTCAGATCTCACTTCCACATCACTAATACTGTCTTCAATTGTGTAATCCATTAAAAAATTCGTTATTTTTAGTGATTTTTTTTCAATTTCTGTTCTTTAGTATTTTTTGAATATTCTTTACTAATTTTCAACCGCCCTTCTGTTTCTAGAAATATATTAAATGTGCTTATTTTATATTCTGTCTGATAATTTCACTATATGGAAGAGTTTTATGTCTGCTTCTGCTGTTATTTTGATTAGCCCCTGCTCCTGGGCCAACTTGCGTTATGTGTTTAGAGACAGTATACTGTGAGCTGCTTATTTTTCTTGCATCTTCACATCTGAGGTTCCATAGGTTTAGAATGAAGAGGAGATCCTCCAGAAGATTTGTTTGCTTTGCTCATGTGACTGGGGACATTGCCAGTTTAGGACCATGCTATAGTCTTTGCTAGATGTTTTATTGGATCAGCCAAGTGAGGGTGCACTCCTAACTGCAAATTCTTAGGGAATTTTTTTTCCTCTACTTATGACAAACATTTATTAAGACAAGCAATTTTACTTGTATTTTATTTTTGATTCACCATTATATTGACAGTATAGCCCTTTGGGGGTCCAGCTTTCTGGGGGACAACTCCTATTGGATGCCTTATATTGGGATGGTAGTTTGAGGCAACGAAACTTACCCTTAGGCTCACTGGGCTCAATAAATGGCTGCGAGGGAGAAACAGACTTCAGAGCTCTTCTTATCTCTCCAGGTTTCCACATCCACTTGATTTCTGGCCTGAGTATCCATTATATTCTTTCTAGTTCATGGATGCATTTAGGTGCTTTAAAATTTTATTCAGCATGTCTAATTTTCCACAAGGGAAGATTATCTAGGCATCTAGTCTACCATACTGCCAGAAGGAAGAAGTCCTCCTTGAACTGCTTAACACTGACCCATTCTTGCATTCTAAACCCAACTTGGGCATAGGTTTCCCAGTTTGGGGTATCCATCTTTTGTATGTGACTGTATTCTATTTGCTATTGTCATATTTGGTTATATACAAATTCTGGTTTTTTTTTTAATATATTTTTTTCAGGCGAGGCAACCCTTGGTTGATCTCACAGATTGCAAGGACCTTGTCAGCTTACAATCCCTTATTTTTTAATTTTTTTACGCCTACAGCCCCTGGTCTTCCTAGGTGGGCTCCCATCCAAGTATTAACCAGGCCCGACACTGCTTAGCTTCCGAGATCAGATGGGATCGGGCTTGTTCAGGGTGGCATAAAAATTCTATTCTTATGTGAGATTGAACTATATATTTAGTGCTGTCTTTATCAGGTTTTGTTGTTGGAGTCATGCTGGCTAGCTTCATAAAAAGAATGTTATCTATGGCCCTGTTTTTTCCTGTATTGCACTTTGAAATTTTTCTTTCTGGTGTCCTCTCCTCTCTATCCACCTCATGCTGAGCCCCACTCAACCTTGGACATGAAGGAGACTTAGGCCTCCTCCCTGAATGTCTGTCAGGAGCAATGATTTGGATGCTAGAGTTTGGGGGAAGCAAGAGTTCTCTGTGGCCTTAGGTTCAGCTCTTCCCACTTCTGTCTCTGAGGGGCCCCTCACAATTTGAGGCTGCACCCACACTCTACAGATGCCCAGGGAGTGTCCCCCTAAGCCTTTGCTCTAGCTGGGTTTCCTGGCCTGAAATTAATTCATTCAGTACCTATTTATTGGACACCTACTAAGTGCCAAGCACTGGGGATGCTATAATACATAAGAAAGACAAGATTCCTACTCTCATGAAGCTCACAGTTCATTGGGAGTTGGGAAGACAGTCAACAATTAAGTAAAATACATGGTATGCCAGATGGTGCCAGAGTGCAGTAGAGAAAAAGAAAGCCATTTGTTGGTAGCTTTCTAGCATGTTTGGGTAACTACAAGTCAAGTCCATGTTGTCGACCCACCTCTCACCCTCCACCCTGTTCTTCTTTTTAAGACTTACTTCCACTATTTCTTGTGCAGTTTCTCACTCATATAAATTTCTCAATCAGCTTGGTTTTGAAAAATATTGGTAGAATTTTGATTTGGATCATGTTGAATTTGTAGATTTGGGAAGAACTGATATAATTGAGTTTGCCCAACCATGAAGATGGCATTTTTCCTGTTTGTCTTCTCTATCATTCAGTAAAGTTTTAAAGTTTAATCTGTGAAGATCTTTTGCATCTTTTTGTTGGATATATTCTGAGGCCTCTTATGTTCTGTTACAGAATCTTACATTTTCTATTCAGTGATGGCTGGTGTATAGACCACTGAGTGTAGGCTTATCTTGTGTCATGCTGCTCAGAGTGGTTTCTAGAATGTCAACCTGATGTCACTCCCTGTTCAGAGCTCTGCCTGGCTCCACTTCAAATTTGATTCCTCACTTTGTCTCAGTGGACTGGCCTTTGTCACCTCTGGGCTTTGTCCATGCAGCAGCCCATTCCTTCCCCTGGCAGACCTCCTCCATGCCTCCCTCTGGGTCAGGTCTATCCTGGGGTTGTTGTCCCACCCTTCTATCCAGTGACAGGTGCCCCTCCAGCCCCAGTCAGGACTCACCAGTGTCTGCCTCCACCCAGATGGGAAAGGAAGGCCCTGGGAAGGAAGGAGTTGTGTGGGGCCAGCCTTGGATCCCATAGTACTAGGGTGTCAGGATGGAAGGTTAGAGCCCCTGGGGTGCCCTGTCCTACCCCATCCTCTCACCTGGAAGCAGTGGCAGTGGGAGGAGGACCCACTGGGCTAAACCAGCTCCTCTTGGTGGTCCTGGTAGCTAGTGATGCAGTTGCTTGGCAGTTGGGGCAACAGAAGCGGCCAGGCCATGGCAACTACGTTACCTCACCAGAGTGGCCTTCCTTTGGCCCCAGAGAGCCCCAGGTAAAGCTGTGACCTCACCCCTAGCTGCTGACTTAGCCCTTACACGTTTTTCTGAAAAAAGCTCTTCCAATGCCAGACTCCGTCCCACCTAGTCTTCCACCCCACCCCTCCCCATCCAGACCAGCCTCCCACTGCCCGTTTCTGGCACTGAGCAGAATGAAGCCCGTGCTCCTCCCCCATATTATCTTGTGGCTGTCACCTGTTCTCCTTCATCAGTCCTGCTCCACAGTCACAGATTCAGGGACAAGGCCATGGAAAATTCCAAATCCAAGGTTTTTATTACCGGTCAGAAGGTGCTCACTGCAAACAGTGTTGAGAAGAGGTACATTGCACAGCTGTGCTGCAGGCCCAGTGGGGCTGCCTGCCTGCCCTGACTCCCTCGAGTGGGCGCCCTAAGGCATTTCACACATTGGTGTTTTCACTTTCTTTTCTTATAAAAACAAAACCAGTCCTAGAGTAGAAAGAAAAACCCTGTGATGAAGTTTCAGGACCAAATTGAAGTGGAAAGGGTTGGAGTGGGGGTTCTAAGGGTCTGGGACAGTGGCCACAGTGGCTTATTCCCCCCACTGTTGGCAGAAGCTGTTGGAAGTTGGTCTGAGGAAAGGGCAGGGCACAGCTGACAGGAGGGCCAAACTCAGACAGGAACACCCTATCTTCATCATTTTTTCACTTACACATACCATAGAAATTTAAGCAAAATAGCTATTTTATATATATTTATATAGTATATATATATATATATATAAATCAGGCAAATAAATAGCTCAGAGCAGGTGCTGAGATGAGCACCCTGAGATGAAGCCGAGGCCAGATGCTGGGTCTCTGATGTCCAGGGCACCAGCCCAGGCAGAGCTGAGGGTTGGTTCTTATTGCTGATTTGGGGCCTGGTTCTGGGGCGGGGAGCACCTGCAGATCCTGCCCCCAGCTCTTCCTGGCCTCTTTGAGGCTGGAGAACAGCCCCTACATGGCCAAGGCTAGGCAAGGGGCTATTGCCCTCAAATCTACGTGGGGGGCCCTCATTGTTCCCCCTCCCCTACAGTGGCTGTAGAGCTAGAGATAATTTGTGTTCTCCTGGGCCCATGGCCCCTCCCAGTCCCTTCTCTGTGGGGTCCTGGGCTCCTAGGGGGCGGCCTTGCTATGTTGAGCTACAAAATGCTCTGGACTCAAAAGGGTCTATCTGGCTTCCTGATGTCTTAAAAAGAAGGGGCTCTTGCCAGGACACTTAGAAAGTTGTCTGCTAAGTGCTAAAAAATATTTACTAAACATCTCGGCTGGAAAGAAAAGGAGATCGTTTTTCTAAAAAAGTCAAATGAGGCTCCCCAAGAGAAGCCAGTTCCTCCCTGGGTGGAGCTGGTGGCAGAAGAAGGGCGGGCAGTCCAGGGCCCCAGCCAGCCTGCCTGAGTTGTGGTAACTGGGAGCTGGGGTCCCAGTAGGGCCCAAGTCCATAATGAAGGGGCACGGGTGACCCGGGGCACCTGGAGGCTGGAGAGAACCCGGGTCAGCACTTCCTCCTTCCAAGGTGGGGGCCCCAAAAAGTGTTATTAAAAAAAAAAAAAAAAAAAAAAGGAAGGAAAAGGTGGAGTGGGATGCTGTTAAGTATTAAATTGAGTGCATTCAAGAAAAGATGGACCAGGCTGTGCAGGCGCCTGTATTTGTAGGAGGGGTGGTGCTCAGAAGATGTTGGGGCACATGTGCCAGTCCTGCTTCTCTTTGGCCTCCCAGTAGCCGCCCTTGTACATGCAGGCCGTTTCCCCAGTCAGCGGGTCCAGCCTCTTCTCGAACCACAGCGGAATGTACATGTCGGCCTCCTTCTCTGCTGGATGGGCACAGCGGGCGGGTGGGCAGGCAGCTTCCTACCCCTCCCACGCGGAACCCCACCCTGGGCTCCAGAGGCACCTCCTCCCCACCCCCTGGGCAGCCGCCCATCCCTGCCTGGCCTCACCATCCTCTGCGCCACAGCCCCGCGAGCAGGCCTCCAGCCGCCGGCGCCTGGACATACGCTGCTTCTCCTCCAATCGCTGCTTCTCCGTGTTGGCCTCGTCCCAGTGCCCCTTCTCCATAAGCCGCTGGTCAGGCCGCAGGCGGCTGTCGGTGGGCGCCACGCCCTCCTCGTGCTCGTTGAGGGTCAGGGCCAGCTCCGAGAAGTAGTACATGTTCTCCGCATTCTCCCTGCAAGGGGCCGCGCCGTGAGCGACCCCCGCACATCCCTCCACCCGCTTGCCCTGGGTCCTGAGGAAGCCCTCTGCCTACGTCCAACCTCCTCTCGCCTGGTGTCCATCCCCAAGAGCTCGCAAAGCCCAGCCGCTCC